AATCACATGTGACAGGTGAAGCTGAAAAATTAATCAGTCATTTCAGCATAACGGAGGAGAATTATTCTGCAGCCTGGACATTATTACAAGACCGCTATAACAATAAAAGGGTCTTGGCGTCCACCTTAATTGATGAACTTTTAAATCAGCCATCAGGCACATCAACTGTGGCAGCAGTTAAAAATTTACATGACACAAGGAAAGAGTGTCTATTAGCACTGAACAATCTTGGCGTTCAAACGACTTTTTGGGACCCAATTTTGTTACAGGTACTAATTAAAAAACTCGATCGGACGATGCTCATTAGATATGAGCAATCTCTGGCAAAACCAAAAGAGATACAAAACATTCACGAGTTTTTAGCCTTTTTAGAGCTACAATTTCAACTGATGGAAGTTGTAGAATAAAAAGATAAGGTGGCTATAAAAACTAAAGCAGATCGAAATAAATCAGTTTCGTCGGCTGTAATAGTTTCTAAAGGAAACAACAATTGCAAACTGTGCAATGTAAACAGGCATCCGCTGTACCATTGCCGTAAATTCCTGCAATTTTCATCATCTCAGCGATTGGATTGGGTGAAAAACCAACAGCTCTGTTTCAACTGTATCAAAAATGATCACGTGGTGAACAAATGTTTATCAAGAAGTTGTACCAAATGTAATAAAAAACATAACACGTTGCTACATTTGGAAGTTAACAATCAAACAAAAAACATTCAACCTACTTCAAGTGGGTACAATACTGCAGTTACCACAGCGACAGCAAACACATCCACAGGTCATCGTGAATATGTTTTTTTGCCAACTGCAACAGTCAAAATAACTGCACCTAATGGAAATACAAGTGAAGTCCGAGCATTACTAGACTCTGGTTCACAAGTGCACATAGTCTCTGAGCGTCTTGTCAGAAGGCTCAATATATCAAAAACTAAAACGTTATTGTGCATAGAAGGTATAGGAAAGGTGCACAAAAATTCAACGCAGCGAGTTAACATCAAATTGCAATCCCTTAACTCGAGGTTCACTACAGAAATCGAAGCGTTTCTGCTTCCAAATATTGTTCCACCTCAACCAAGTTCCAGCTACGATATTTCCAAATGGAAGATCCCGAACAGCATTCAGTTAGCAGATCCAACATTTTTCCAACAAGGGAAAACTGATATTTTACTCGGTGCGGAGTTCTATTTCAGTCTGTTAAAAAAGGGTAAAATCACGCTTGCTCCTGGGCTTCCAGTCTTGCAAAATTCTACACTTGGCTGGATTGTCAGTGGCAAGGTTGTATCAAATACAGACACATCAAATGTTTTATGTGCAGTTTTTGGCGGTGGGGTGGAGGCTGTTAATATTTATAATAATTCATCGTTAGAAGATGCAATTGAACGATTATGGCGAATGGATGAGGTGAATACAACAGAAAGGACATTATCCAAAGAAGAAAAATAATGCGAATCTCATTTTGTTCAGAACTTTCATACAAATAAAGGACGCTTTGTGGTAAGGTTACCATTTCTGGAAAACTCATTGACGTTAGGGGAATCTCAAGAAACAGCTTGGAGAAGGTTCATCAGTCTTGAACGACGACTAGCAAAAAATCATGTTTTGCGGAAACAATATGTGCAGTTTATGGAAGAGTATGAGCGATTGGGTCACATGACTGAAGTAAACCTGGATTCCATGTTGACTCCAAGATATTTTATTCCTCATCATTGTGTACTAAAACCAGATAGTACAACTACTAAACTTCGAGTGGTGTTTGACGCATCAGCCAAAACTACATCTGGACACTCGTTGAATGATTTAATGTATAACGGACCGCCAGTTCAAAGTGAACTTTTTTCAATTCTGCTCCGTTTTAGGTGATCACGGTTTGTTTTTACCACAGATATCGAGAAAATGTATCGTCAAGTTTTGATAAATCCTGAAGATCGGTGCTATCAACTTATCATTTGGAGAAGCAGTCCAAACGATTCGTTATTATCAGCTAAATACAATTACATATGGGACTCGAGCAGCTCCTTACCTAGCAACAAGATGTCTGCAAAAGATAGTATTAGAAAATAATGTGAATTATCCATTAGGAGCTCAAATCCTGTGTGACAATTTCTACGTTGACGATGGGCTCGGTGGATCAGGTAGTTTAATTACGGCTATTGAAGCTCAAAGATAACTAATCCATATTTTGAAGAAGCATTATTTTTGTTTTCGTAAATGGAGCGCAGACCATCCTCAACTTTTGAAAAACATTTCTCAAGATGATCAAGAGGTAAATCTCGATTTCGATAATAACGAGTCAATCAAAACGCTGGGATTATTTTGGTTGGCCAAGGCGGATTTATTTGGAATTAAGGTCAATATTGTTATTGAAGGAATAATCACGAAGAGAGTCGTTAGTTCTGATTTAGTTAGACTGTTCGACCCACTTGGTTTATTAGCTCCAGTAATAGTCAAAGCAAAGATTTTCATACAACACTTATTTCAGTTGAAATTATCTTGGGATGAACCATTTCCTTCAGATCTTCGTACAACATGGTCAGCATTTAGAGAAAACTTAAGTACTCTTGAAAATCTTCAGTTGGCAAGATATATCTTCAGAGGGGAGGTTCCATCATCAACACAGCTACATATTTTTGCTGATGCATCTGAAAAGGCATTTGGTGCTGCAGCATATGTCAGAGCAATTTTAAAGGATGGTAGAATAATAGTGCGACTCTTATGTGCAAAGTCAAGAGTAGCTCCACTCAGAAAACAAACGCTACCGCGACTAGAGTTATGTGCGGCAGTCTTAGCAGCGGAACTTTCAGCAAGAGTGAAAAGCGATCTTCAGGAGAAGGACCAGCCGGTATTTTTGTGGACTGATTCAGAAATTGTGTTGTCTTGGATTAACTCACAGTCCTCATCATTTCAAACATTTGTAGCTAACAGGGTGGCAAGAATTCAAACTTTAATTCTGTCTGAACAGTGGCGACATGTTAGGTCAAAGGACAACCCAGCTGATGTGTTATCAAGAGGACTTTCAGCAAGGGCATTGTCAACATGTGCACTTTGGTGCACTTAATGGAAGGCATGAAGTATGGCCACCAAGGTTTTCACCATCATTACAAGTTCCAGTTGATCTGGAGAAGAAAAAGGTTGTAGCTGTAGCAACTCAATGCAATGACGCAGATTTCATATACAGGATTCAGCACAAGAATTCTTTCAAGACTTTACATTGGATAGTAGCATATGTTCTTAGATTCATTAACAACGCAAGAATGTCAAAGGAGTCACGTGCCATACATATAGCACCCAGTGCTACCGAATTGGAAGCAGCATTAATAACTATAATATGTCACATTCAGGGTAATGATTTTCATGAAGAAATCAAACAACTGAAGAAACAAGTCCATGTTGATAAATCTAGTTCAATCAGTAGTTTATCTCTATTCATTGATAATGCAAATGTTCTTAGAGTAGGAGGACGCTTAGAAGCCTCATCATTACCATACGATTCTAAACACCCAATGCTGATCCCATACAATGATCCATTGGCAAAATTATTATTCGTGATGTTCCATGAAGAAAACAAGCACTGTGGCCCGCAGGCACTATTGAGTATAGTACGACAACGTTTTTGGCCGATTAAAGGTAAATCAACAGCCCGAGCAACGGTTCAGCGATGCATTCGATGCAACAAAGCACGTCCGCAACTATGCCAACAAATTATGGGGAATCTACCAGAATCAAGAATAACTCCTGCAAGACCCTTCATTAATGCTGGGGTAGATTATTGCGGACCATTTTGGACCCACACAAGGTGAGGGGCAAAGAGCTAACAAAGGCATATATTGCTGTCTTTTGTTGTTTTGCCACAAAGGCGGAACATCTCGAGTTAGTGACCGACTTATCAACAAATACTTTCATTGGAGCATTAAAACGATTCATAAGTCGACGAGGGCGTTGTTTGAATATTTACAGTGATAATGCAACAAACTTCGTAGGCGCCAAAAACCAGTTAGCAGAACTAGAGGAAAGCATTTATTCTAATGAAGGGCAAGAAGCAATAATCTCTGCTTAAAGTACAACAGGAATAAACATTCATTTTATTCCACCAAGGGCTCCACACTTTGGCGGTTTATGGGAAGCATCCATAAACTCCGCAAAATATTTGTTACTACGCAGCGTTTCAACAGCATCATTGACATATGAAGAACTCGAAACAGTAGTGGTGGAAATTGAAGCGATATTAAATTCACGACCATTGTCTCCAATGTCCAATGATCCAACTGATTTGGCAGCATTAACTCCAGGACACTTATTAATTGTTGAATCTCTTATAACTCATGTAGACAGCCAATCAAAACCAGAAAAACACACGTTATTGCCACGTTGGAACCTAGTTTCCCAGTTTAAACATAATTTCTGGAAACGCTGGTCTAACGAATATTTGATGGAACTGCAACAACGTAACAAATGGAAAACACAATTTGCCAACATACAGTTAGGAGACATGGTTATAATCAAAGAAGATAACGTCCCAGTGATGCAGTGGCCCTTGGGACGAATTGTATATGTGTACAAGGGTACAGATGGACGTATCCAAATAGCTGACGTTAACATATCGACAGGCATTTTTAAACGCCCAATTCATCGAATAGCTGTACTGCCTGTTAATACAGATGATCAACCAACAATGGCTGAAGCTGATCACGAAATACGTCCTCACAACGTAATTATTGAAGATAAAAAAAGAGTCGTATGAAGAACCCAAGACAAAACGTAGAAAACTGTGGACCAAATTATACTGTTCTGTATTACTTACACTATTACTGATATTGCCAATAGTAATAGAGTCTCCAATTGATAGTAAAAGGTTTGGGTCGAAATTGGGTATTCACTTTGAAAATCTGGGCATAACTGCCATATCAACTACTGAATGGAATATATTAGTTTATTACGACTTAAGTCTTTATTGGACGGAAGCATCAGCTCTAAACACAGGAATAACGTCGCTACATCAAGCTTGTCAACAAATAAAACCAAACGCATCATGTGCGAGTAGAATTAATCACTTTAAACATATTGAATCCGAACTACAACTCGATGATAAATTACTTCATGACCATCGATCCAAAAGAGGAGCAATTGATCTTGTAGGCAATGTTGCACATTTGCTATTTGGAGTATTGGACTCAGAATATGCCAAAGGAATGTCAAATATAATTTCAGAAGTGAAACAAAATGAAATGCAATTATTGACGTTATTTAAAAATCAGTTAAGAAACATCAGTTGTCGATTCAACAATTAATATAATGAAGAAAGATAAAATCGCAGTTCAAGAAGGTTTTGAGCACATTGACAATGAAATAAAGGCACTGATGAATTCCATAAAAGATACAAATAGAGAGGTTAATCAGGTACGGCTCAATCAAGTTTTCAATGCAGGAGCCATTCAACTAACACTGGTAGCACATAATCTACAGAAGATACAATCTGCCATTATAGATGCTCTAACTGATACTCATCATGGAAAAGTCAATCCGTTGTTATTGACACCAACACAATTACAAAAGGAAGCAAATCAAATCTTCATTTATCTTCATTTATTACCATCATTAGAATTACCGATGCCAGAAGATGAGCTAATATCCCTTTACAGACTAATGAAGGTTAAAGGTGGAATCACACAGCAGCATGCAATTTTTAGTATAACATTACCATTGATTGAACATGAACGATTTGAATTGTTTCAACTAATTCCAATCCCGAATTGGTTAAATGACTCCATGGCGGTAATTGACTCATGCAGTTCTATTTTGGCTATTAATACGCATCATGATCAATATTTTCCTCTTATGAAATCTGATTTAAGTCTTTGTGAGACCATAAAGGAAGGGGAATTTCTTTGTGCCAACTTCCGCATACGATACAATTTTGGTTCTGAAGTATGTGCTTGTGAGATCAACACCAACAACACAATACCAAACTGTCGGTTGAAACACATTATCAACACTCTGACCTGGATTCCATTGAATAACAAAAATCAATGGATTTATGCGACATCAACATCTTCACGAGCAACTGCAGTATGTAATAAGAAATCATACCGCTAAATCTAAAAGGTTCAGGCTTATTAACGATCGACCCAAACTGCGTGCTTAAACACAGCTTCGTTTCCGTGCAAGGACAACAAATAAT